ATATCTTGCAGATAGCCAGCAAGTTCATCTTAAATACTTCCTAATTTATATTTTCAGAGTTTTAGAACATGCCTAAGGATGTCCACATGGTGAATGCAGCGTGGCTGTTCTAAGCCAGCCTTGAGGGCGGCACGCACCTTTGCCCCACACATCAGTGAGACTCACAAAAAGTTAGGTGGGTGGGATCTGAGTCTTGATCAGCCATCAGCATGTGGACAGTGGCTATTTGTAAGATGACGCTGGGTCAGTCTCAGTGATGTAGATGGAATTTTCTGTTCTTACTGTTCTCTTCTGTGTAATAACTGGTTCCTTAGTTGTATCTCAAATGTCTTAATAGTTTAAATAATGTCTGAGGATGCACACAGATATGGGCTTTTCCTGCAATATTTTTTTCTGTTGATATTTTCTACTTTATTTCAGGAAAATTCTCTACGAGCTCTTTTTTAGTGAGGCATTTCATAAAAATCTCATTTTGATCCTATATCTTTTTTCTCAATTTTTGGAAAATTCTGATAGATTTTCTGAAGAGCCAAATTATGCAGGCTAGAGTGCTTTGCCCATATTTCTTATTATGTTTAATTAAGGAAAGAGAGTCCCCAAGGCAGGTTTTTATAATTCTGCCTTCACATGGTGCTGTAAGGAGATCCGTTTCTCTTTTGCAGAGTAAGAGAAGATTCCCATGACTGTAATCCCTGTAGGAACAGCTGGCATTTTCTACATCTCACTGAACACGTGGTTTGAAACCACCTTTCAAAATGCGGTCTTTCTGCAGTACAGCTGGGGTGTCCCTGCCTTCCCCGCTTCCCCACCATGCACGGATGTAAAAGGGCAGTTCTGTCTCGCAGGTGTGACAGATTTCTTCCCTGCATCCCCTTTGTCTCCTATCAATGAATCTTTGGTGGCTGTCGGCTGGGGACAGCTCTCAGCATTTCATGCACTGAATGCAGCATGAATACAAACTTATGATAGGGCCAGGCAGGGGACAGCAAGAGGTGAACACCGGGAATTGTGTGAGCTAGGAGTCACTGACTGGTAGTGGGTGAGGGGCACATGGTAGGGAGAGATTAGCAGCTGGATCAGGGTGGAAAACCAAACCCTGACAGCTGAGATGAGGCACAGACTTGCTGCCATGGGGACAGTTGTCCACCGGCCCCGGCCAGGCTGGCCTCCAGGGGGCGTTATTGGTATATGCAATCACCCCAAAGCACTTGGGCTTGAAGAAGATCTGGGACAGTTTGCTGTTACCACCTCAGAGTATTTAGATGGGACATGATGGGTGGAATTGAAGTTAAAAACCCATCCACCATTTCTGGTTAGTACAGTAAGCTCCTAATTTACAGAAATGCTTGGGAAATTGATAATCATGATAAAGTCCTTATCCCTCCTCCTCTTTTGACCAAATCTTTCTAAAATGCACAATTATAATTTCTTATCTTTTAGTGCATAGTAATTATGTTATATGTGGTATATACACTATGTAAATATAGTTTATCAAACCATTCTTTGGTGTTTGAAGACTTTCTAATTCATTTCTTCATTCCAGACATCAATGACAACAGCAGGCATGGAGCAGGTACACATATGAGCTACCTACTGATAAGCCCTGGATTTTGATTTTATTTTGTGAAATTCTTGGTGCGGGTAATTTTTAAATAAATGTTTTTTTAAATTGTATGAAGAAACTGGAATGCATCAACATGATCTTGTTCGTAATCTTGTTAATGATGTCATCCAGAGGCCACCAGGAACACTCCTGTAACCCAGCAAAGTTGAGGACATTGGCTGGCTCATCACAAGAAGGAAGGCTTTGCACCATTGGGGCCCAGCAGCAGCTCAGCAGCGGTGAGAGGGCCTTGGGAAAGACTTGGAGGGTTTGGCTTATACAAGGTGATCTTGGGGAGGGTCAAGGAAACAGGCCGTGATGGTTAATATTGACTGTCAACTTGATTGGATTGAAGGAGGCAAAGGATTGTTCCTGGGTGTGTCTGTGAGAGTGTTGCCAAAGGAGATTAACATTTCAAACAGTGGAAAGGAAGGCCCACCCTCAATATGGGTGGGCACCATCTAATCAGCTGCCAAAGCAGCTAGAAAAAAGCAGACAGAAGTTGGAATGAGCTGACTTGCTGTGTCTTCCAGCCATCATCTCTCTCCTGTGCTGGATGCTTCCTGCCCTTGAACATCAGACTCCAATTTCTTCAGCTTTTGGATTCTTGGACTTACACCAGTGGTTTGCCAGAGGCTCCCAGGCCTTTGGTCACAGACTGAAGGCTGCACTGTCTGCCTTCCTGCTTTTGAAGTTTTGGGACCCAGGCTGGTTTCCTGGCTCCTCAGTTTGCAGATGGCCCATTGTGAGACTTCACCCTGTGATCATGTGAGCTGATTCTCCTAATAAAAGTCCCCTTCATATATACATCTATCCTATTAGATCTGTCTCTTTAGAGAACCCTGAAAAATACACAGGCCATGCTCAGATTGAGTGCTGTCTGGAAATGGGGGTCATTGTGTGATTGACTGTCTTAACAACTGTCCTGGAAGGTCAGAGAAATGGAGTCAGGCTGGCGCTACAGTTGGTGAAAAAGCAGCAGCTTTTGACTGGATAGTCAAGGGTTCACATTCTCTTAGCACAAAGGTGGCTGCAATACTTATGAAAGGCATTTGGCTGATGTGTTCTTAAAGGAGAGGGAAGCTGTCTGTTATCTTCAGCTACATAATAAATGACCACAACCTAGTGACTTGAAACATCACACATCAGTTACCTCCAGTCTCAGTAAGTCAGAAGTTCAGCCACAGCCCAACTGTGGCCTCCGCTCTGGGTCTCACCAGGCTACATTCAGGGGTCAGTCAGGGCTGTGGTCCTAGCAGAGGCTCTCTCAGGTTGTTGGCAGTTGTAGAACTGAAGTTCCTTTTTCGAGGGGGGAACGGTCAGCTGGTGTATTAGTTCATTTTCACACTACTGATAAAGACATATCTGAGACTGGGTAATTTATCTTTTTAAAAAAAGAGGTTTAGTGGACTCACAGTTCCCCATAGCTGGGGAGGCCTCACCATCGTGGTGGAAGGTAAAAGACACGTCTTACATGGCAGCAAGCAAGAGAGAATGAGAGCCAAGTGAAAGGGGATATTATAAAACCATCAGATCTCATGAGACTTATTCACTACTGTGAGAACAGTGTGGGGAAACCGACCCTATGATTCAGTTATCTCCCACAACACGTGGGAAATATGGGAGCTACAATTCAAGATGAGATTTGGGTGGAGACTCAGTGAAATCATACCAGCTTGGAACCACTCTCAGATTCCAGGGTCTGCCACGGTTCCTGCCACATGGCCTGTCACAGTCCTTCCTACAGGACAGCAGCCTTCTTACACAAGTCAGCAAGAGGGAGTCTCTCTTGCTCCACTTGCTAAGGCGGAATCTCACATCAGATGTGACCATCACATTTGCCGTATTCTATTATCTAGAATTATGTCACAAGCCTGTTTGTGCTCAGGGGAGTGGATTATCCAAAACATAGATCACTGGGGAGGGCTGACCTTAGGGTGTGTTTGCTACATCACCGAAGAGTATGTGAAACATCTCTCTCATTTCTTACATTTCTTGAGCTTTTAAAAAAAGTACTAACGGAATAAACATAGACAATGTAGGTTACGTGAATGAATACAAAGAAGAACATAGTATCACTCCTAATTGTCATGACTTCTACCACAAAGAGGATCACTTGTAACACTTGCATGTATGCACTGGACCAGGGTTTTACAGACCATCCCAGCTTCCTTCACCCATGGTCTACTGCCCATTGGAACTGATGACTCTTCAGAAGTATGGTCTGGGACCAACCACACGTATCAGGCCACCAAGAGGAGGCATCCGTGTCCACAGAAGAGAGATGAGCTTCTGGGCAGCTCCTGCATCTTCACAGTGAAGGCTGGGCACATGGATCCCTGTGTTGCTCTAGATGTGATTTTTTTTAATGTTTGACTTTCACACTGTAGTGGGGGTTAAGGTTAGTGCTACAGGCATCCTGTAGGTATAGCCTACGGACACTGCTAAATACCCTACAACAAGAATGACGGTCTCTGACCACAAAGAATTGTCCAGCCTAAAACACCAATAGTGCCAGGGTGGAGAACACTGGCCCCAACCTTGCACAAGTGTGTGAAGCTAAAGACATTGTGAAGATTTCTCTTGTTTTGTCTTTTTATTTACAAAGGTGTTCTTTTCTCTCCCAATCATGCTTCAGAGTTCAACCCAATGGAAATGGAAATTGAAAGAGTGAAAGTCACTGGTTTCAAAGAATCTACAGAATTCAGCATTTTGAAAATCACATAGCAATTTTGGGTAGGCATTCACATGCACTAACAAACCAGGCAAACATCTGACTCCCAGGATACAGTGATGGAGAGTGACAGAAGATCTGTTGAGCCTTAAGGAATGAGGGAAAATTGTGTTATCAAGTGAAGGAACAGCACAGACCCAGACGAGGGGCTGCAGCTCAGAGCCAGCAACCCAGGCCTCCTTCTCCCCAGGGCGCAGCGCTGGCTGACCCCCGATTTCGAGGTCACACATCCCAGGTCCTGAGAGTGCTTTATAGGTAGACAGCTCTTTGGGACTTTTGGGACACAGCACTTGAAGAGAGGTTTACTTAAACTTTTCTCCTGGGAGCCTGTGATCATTTGAAAGTAACAGAAGAGCCGGGCGCGGTGGCTCACGCCTGTAATCCCAGCACTTTGGGAGGCCAAGGCGGGTGGATCACGAGGTCAAGAGATCGAGACCATCCTGGTCAACACGGTGAAACCCTGTCTCTACTAAAAATACAAAAAAATTAGCTGGGCATGGTGGTGCGTGCCTGTAATCCCAGCTACTCAGGAGGCTGAGGCAGGAGAATTGCCTGAACCCAAGAGGCGGAGGTTGCGGTGAGCCGAGATAGCGCCATTGCACACCAGCCTGGGTAACAAGAGCGAAGCTCCGTCTCAAAAAAAAAAGAAAATAACAGAAGAAAGCTGTTGTGCTAAGGAAGCAGCTTCAACAGGCACTTGGTGAGTACGGGAAGCATCCATTCATTGCAAAATCACGGGGACAGAGGAGGAATTCATCGGATCATAACACTGAGAAACTCCAGAGGCTTCTGGTTCACTGCTCGGATTCCACAGATGAGGGTCAGAGGCAGAGGTGGAAGCTGGAATGGGCAAGCCTGCCCTCTCCCCGCCTCTCCACGGCGCTGTATTCAGGCTGTTTCTGCAACTTGACGTGAGGCCTGGCCCCAGGGAAAGCAGCAGGGCCTCATCTCCTCCTTGTGCTGCTCAGAGGTGGAGCCTTCTCAGGGTCAGTCCAGCTCAGGAGCCCCTCTCCAGCTTGGTCACCAAAGCTGCCTGGTCCCAGGGCGGTGCTGAGTGACAGGCATGCCACCCAATCTAATTGGACACTTCATACCCAACGCACGAGTTAACGCCCTGTCTCCAAGGCACAGGCTTTACGGAAACAGCTTTAACGACCTCTTCACTTACAGACAAGACTCTTAGTGGTGGAACCTCAGGCACCCATGCAGGATGTAAGAAAGCGCTTGTATAGCCGGGCGCGGTGGCTCACGCCTGTAATCCCAGCACTTTGGGAGGCCGAGGTGGGTGGATCATGAGGTCAACAGATCGAGACCATCCTGGTCAACATGGTGAAACCCCGTATCTACTAAAAATACAAAAAAATTAGCTGGGCATGGTAGCGCATGCCTGTAATCCCAGCTACTCGGGAGGCTGAGGCAGGAGAATTGCCTGAACCCAGGAGGCGGAGGTTGCCGTGAGCCGAGATCGCGCCATTGCACTCCAGCCTGGGTAACAAGAGAGAAAGAAAGCGCTTGTATATACATGAACTGAAAAGTGTGTAGAAAAATAAGTACCGTAATAGGTAATAAAATGTATGTTTTTTTATATGCTACTTTCTCTTTCTCCTTCTCTCTCTATATATACATACATACAAAAATATATTCATTCTATAGAAAACATGAAAGATATATTCTTTACATATGAAATTTTAATGTATTAATTTTTATGATTATATGAACATCACAAATGTAATTTTATAATTGTTTGTACCCATCAATAAGTCCTAAACATGAATATACACTGACAATATCATAGTTTTTAAAAAAAATCATAAAATGGTTGAGAAACATTCCACTTTAATTTATTCCTCCTAATCCCCATGGTGGTACATTAAGTGAGAGTTTCCCAGCCTTGGTACTACGGGCAGGCAGTCGGGGCCAGCCATGCCTTTTAGGGGACACTGTCCTGGCCACTGTGGGATGTGGCTTCACATCCTGGTCTCTGCCCACTGGATGTCAGAGACATACATCCCTTCCCCTCATCTGTGACAATCCACACTGTCACTAGACATTGCCAAATGTCCTCTGGAAGACAAAATCACCCTAGATTGAGAACCGGTGACATTTTTTTTGAACTATCATCATAAGACAAAGCCACCTGAACTCCCTTGCTGATGTCTCTCCACCTCTTTCTAATTCTATTCAGAGGGAAAATTCTTAGAAGTGACATTACTATAACAGAGAAGAGGTATTCATTTGAGAACTTTGATAAATATTTGCCAAATTTCTGTTGAAGTGTCATTTCTAAAAAGTTAAAAACATGACTCTCATACAAACATATACAGAACAAATGTCAAAGGTGCATTTCTCTAATGCAGTGAGACAGGCGGCAGGGCGGTGAGGCTGCAGCAGGGTGGGGGCCGGGTGCAGAAGGAGGTCGCAACAGCCCCGGAGAAGGTCATTCAGTCATACAAGGATACCCTGACGCTTGGGCTGCGGTCCTTTCCAAGTCTAGGAGGCGTCGTTCCTTTGCATCAACACCCGACAAGACTCATGCGCACTGCTCTCGGTGTTCTGTGTGTGAGAATCCAGGGACCCTCGCACGGCTGTGGTAGATTCTAATCAGCAGAAAATAGTAAGTCAAAGCAAAAGCGGTTGCCCACAATGAGAATGTGGAAAGACAGAGTCATCTTTCTGCCTATTTCCAAGTTTTGATTTTGTTTCCTTACGTTGCCTTCCTGAAATTTTAAAATTTACCCTCCCTTCAACTGATTCAGTTCCTTCCCATAACCAATCCAGCAGGAAGTATTATCACTCATTTTTTTATTCTCTATTGGGCAGATAACTCATTGTTTTGTTTCCATTTATTTCATTACCAGAGAGGTCAAATATATTTTCACATATTTATTGGCCATTTGTGTTTTAATTTACTTTGCCTATATATGTCCTCTGTCCATTTTCCTTTCAGGGAATTAAACTTTTTCTTATTCATCCTACATCTGTATAGCACTAGGCATTTGTCTTTCATAAATGTTGCAAATATTTTTCTCCATTTTCCTTTGCCCTTTCATTTACATTTTTCTTTAATATAGAAATGTATATGTTGTCAAGTCCATCAGTTTTTTTGTGTGCTTTCACTTCTGGAATTATGTAGATAAGTTCCTTCTTAACCCTGGGATTAAACCTTTATGAATGCTTTTTTTTAAAAAAATATATGTAGAAGTTATACTTAAATTTATTTTCCATCTGAAATTTATTTTAAAATAAGATGAGAGTTTGTCATTAACTTTTTTTTTAAACCAAAGAATTAGCAAGTTTTCTTAACTTTGTTACTGAGTAATCCATCTTTTTAGGTCATGTGCTTATGTGTGAATCCGCGTGTGTGAGAGGCCATTTCTGGACCGTCTATTCTGTTCTCTAGACCTGCCTGTTGTCTTGGCCCAAGGCCATACAATATACATTCCTGTTGATTTATATTATACTTCTCCATCTGGCAGAGTGGGTCTTGTTTTAAAAGTCACATCTTTTATTTGCAAGTAGATCGAGTGTTTATTTTTATAGGATTTGGATAAGTTTAAAGGTGTGTTTTTCTTTTGAGGACAGTGATTTTTTCATTCTCTTATCTAGCCAAATACGTTCCCATTAAAAATGCCTTTAACTTCTTAGTGAACATGTTGCAGGTACACATTTCCCTGTGTATTTAAGGGCAGCGCTGCTCACCTTAGGTACTGTTACCAGAGCTTATTTTCCTTTTCCCAGAGTGATTGGAATATTAAGTCCCAAGGACAAAGGGCAGGTGTCTGAAAGCTGGCAGAGGCCTGGGCACTAGATGAGGTGCAGGGTCTCTCACAGCCCCACATGATGGAAGGACCAGATCGCTTGCTACGGAGAGTCAGCAGATCTTAGTTCCCTGGCTTGTGTTTATTAGCTTCTCAACCAGCTCCTCGAATTGGGTTTCACGGACCACTCTAGTCCCATGAGGTTCAGCCGAGCGGCTGGAGGAGAGTGCTTTTTGGGTCAGTGAGGAAAAAAGAGCCAAGTTAGATAATACCTAGCAAGTTCCTCTGCTGCAGGACCTCTCAGGACCTTTAATCTCTGATATCCGGTGACTCTCCCAGAATGTGATGATTATTAGACCTTCGTACCCTTCTTCAAGAGACAACCATCAACATCTCAGTGAATGCTTGCCTTCTGAGCACTGCTGCCGGGGAAACGCTATATTCTTCATATTATTATTGTTTCAAACAACACTGTGAAAAAAATGAAATGTCTCCAACAGTGAAAACGAGAACAACTGTAATTATTTACGCTCTTTGACAACAAGAATAGGATTTATTCTACCTTTAGTGACAGCTGCTATTTTTATGAGCGCGTTCTAAGCATTTTCTCGGCGGTCCTCGCCCCTTCCTAATGAGGCGTGGCAGACATGCATTGCCACTCCAGCATGCTGAGGAACCCGAGGCTGAGACCCTGGATGCTGTGTGGCCATGGCATTTGCTTAGCAATCTTTCCGTTGGTTCTCAAACATATTTTGTAGTTTTCCTTTGCTGTGTAAAAGTTGCCACAAACTTAATTACTGAAACCAATAGCCGTTTATTAGCTCATAGATCTTATAGGTCAGAAGTCAGGGTGAAACGAGTCTGGATCTTCTGCTAAGGGTTTTGTGTAGTGAATTTGGGTGCTGGCTGGGCATTTTTCATTTCTGGAGACTCTGGGAAGGGTCTGTTTTTGCCTTATGCAGGTTGTTGGTGGAATTCAGTTCCTCCTAGCTGTAGGGCTGAGAGCTCCAGCTCTTAGGCACTGCCCACATTCCTTACTGCATGGGCCCCTCCATCTTCAAACCAGCAGTAGAGAATCTCCCTCATGTTGAATCCCTGTCTCCCTCAAATATCTTTCTTCAGGAAGAGCCGCATCACCTGATGAGGTCAGGTCCAACCAGGATAATCTCTGTACCTTGAAGTCAATTTATTGGATTCATCTTCAAGACTTCGATTTGATTTGCAAGATCTCTTCACAGCAGAACCGAGATTAGTAACTAATTTAATAAGTGGGTGACTATTTGCGTATATGGGGCCGGGGGGGATTTCAGGGTTATCTTAGACCTTTGCCTCCCTCCCTCACTTGGTTTTCATTAGGGGCAGCAGGATGCACTTGCTTTAGGTCTTTCCTGTGCTAATAGGGTCATCCATGTGTGATTGGGGAAATCACGAGTCCGAACAGATTTGTTTTAGTGTGAGCAGAATCCATCCGAAGACACCGACGAGGACAACCTGGAAAAGCTGTCTGACAAAATGCGTTCCCTTCTGCCTGACTTCTGTTCTAGAGCTCAAAAGAATCGGCATAGCTGTCAGACAGTTGCCATTTTATGCATGATTTTAAAAGAGTCCCTTTGGCTTCCCTATTGTTTGTGGTTTATATGGTGCTCCATATATTTTAGGGCAATTACATGTCGAGCAATGATGGCACTGCTATTCTTGACAGGATGTTAATATAACTCACCTTTTGTTTGCTCTCAATAATAAATCGAAAGAAATTACCAACCCCAAATCTTCACACTGAGACTTTTGGAGATGAATGTCACATCCTTGCACCAAGCCGTTGTATTCCCCAGGCTATAGCTGACCCCATTTGCTAAATTCTTGATGGCAAAGTTGTAAAAGTTCTTCTGTGTGTAAAGTTTTCAATGAGATCCCAGCAAGTAAAAACATTGACGGTGCTAACAGGCTGCCTAAGGTGTTGGTGGGATGGCTGCAGCTCTCCATATTCCGGAAGCATTGGGAAAGAGGTCCTGGAGAGATGCTGAGGGAACCATCCACTTAGCCTCCACCAGCCTCCTCTCTGCAGGAACCCTCGGCTGTCCTGACTGAGGAAGCTGGATTTCCTTTTTCCACGTGAGGTGAGCAAAGCTACTCCGGGGGCTGGAGAAGAGCCCCCCTGCATGGTTTCCTCTGATGGGGGGCCCAGTCACCAACTGCCTCCCCTTCCCAGCTGTTCCCTCTGAGCTCTGAGGTCATAGACAAAGCTGAGCCCAGAAACCAGGGACTGAGGCTCATTTTGTCAAACAGACCATATCAATATCATTAAGCTGTCTGGTTTTAATTTTCGAGCACTTCCCAACTGTCTATTTAGGAGTGTTTAAGGCCAAACCCATTCATTCTTTCCGCCATTTAATGGAGATCGGAGCCGTTTAATGACTGTCCTGTGAGGAGGAAGGGATACAGATCAGAAACAACCAGAGAGTGATGAGAACGAATTAGAAGTTGGAAGAGAAAAGCAAGATAATAAAAGTGTAATTTAAAACATCGGACTTGCACAATTACCATGGTGGCTTGCTTAACAGGGAATCTAAATTTATCTCATTGCTGAGAATCCATTGAGAGAAATAAAATTTAAGAAAATCTGGGGGCCATCCCAGTTCTTCTCAACAACTATATCTAAGGGTTCAGTCCATGGGAAATAGAGCTCCAGGCGATTCAAAGTGCCACAGCCATCGCTTTGTCCCTCCGCCTGCCTCCTTCCTGCCGGGCCAATTCTGCCCCTAGGCCACTGGGATGGGCCCTCTCCTGCCCTCCTGCTTTCCTTCCTGCCCACCACCCACGTCTACTGT